GCTCTACTTCGAGCTCCTCTCGTGTGACAGAGCTCCTCACCCTATCTCTAAGGGAGCGCTCTGCCACCCTGCGGAGAAAGCTCATTTCAGCCGCTTGTATCCGGGATCTCGTTCTTTTGGTCATGACCTAAAGCTCATGACCATAGATGAGGGTAGGAACGTAGATTGACCGGTAAATCAAGAGCTTCGCCTTTCGGCTCAGCTCCTTTTTCACCACAACGGACCGATCCGCCTGTCAATCTCACGCTCCATCCTACCCTCACTCGTGAACAAGACCCCAAGATACTTAAACTCCTCCACCTGAGGCAAGACTTCCTCCCCAACCCGAAGGGTGCAAACCACCTTTTTCCGGTCTAGAACCATGGCCTCGGACTTAGAGGTGCTAATTCTCATCCCAGCGGCTTTACACTCTACTGCAAACCGCCCCAGTGCAGGCTGCAGGTCCTGGCTCAAAGAGGCCAACAAGACCACATCATCCGCAAAAAGCAGAGATGAAATTCTGTCCATAAAAATAATGAACAGAACCGGTGACAAAGGGCAGCCCTGCCGTAGTCCAACATGCACCGGGAACAGGTCCGCCTTACTGCCGGCAATGCGAACCAAGCTCTTACTCCGATCGTACAGGGACCGGACAGCCCTTAGAAGAGGGCCCTCAACCCCATACTCTCGGAGCACCCCCCACAGAATACCGCGAGGAACACGGTCGAAAGCCTTTTCCAAGTCCACAAAACACATGTGGACCGGTTGGGCAAACTCCTATGAACCCTCAAGCACCCTGTGGAGGGTATAGAGTTGGTCCAGTGTTCCACGACCAGGACGAAAATCGCATTGTTCCTCTTGAATCTGAGGTTCGACTATCGGCCGGATTCTCCTCTCCAGTACTTTGGAATAGATTTTTCCCGGGAGGCTGAGGATTGTGATCCCCCGATAGTTGGAACACACCTTTATTTCTTTAAAATTCTTGTTTTATGAAATAGTTGGCAGTAGAAGTGTTGGCGTAAACCTAACTAAATGTCAAGCTTTTGGGTAACCCTAATGATGGGGGCAACAATGGATTGGGAGATGGGATGGGGTGGGGTTACATCATTACTAACTGTGTTTTCCATCAATGAAGTAATGAGATAAGAATGATCCAACAATGTGTTTCAAGTTTAACGTGTTTGGTGCCCCATTACTCTTAGTAACCCTAACAAAGCACAACCCTACGGATCCCTCCCCAGGCTGTAGTCTGTGGAATCTCAGACGATCTTATTTCCTTTTTCAGTTACAACAGCTATAAATTTGCATAATCTTTTGCAAAATCTTAACCATACAAAACATTTGGTTGTTCTGCTAAAGAAATTTTGTGGCCGGTCCAAAGATGCAGGAGACCTGCTGAGATATTTGGAGGTCAGTGTTTGAAAAAGAAATGGAATGACCGACAGGGACCCTTCACAGATATTGACAAGAAACTTTCCAGTCGAATCAAGATTTCATAAAAAGGACGGTGCTGCTGTGAAGGTCCACCGACAGGAGCTGCTCAGAAAACTCCCCAGAAAACCTGTCAGGATGAGGGTTCTTACAGCAGCCCCGCCTCACCTCTCTGTCTCCCTTCATCTTCCTCTACAACCTCCTCCTCATCATCATTCCTTTGTCTCGACACACATCTGCTGATGGATGAGCTCATTTGCTGCAAATCTCTTTCAAGTCAATCCGGGACGCCGTTGTTGCCATCGTGCTTGTACACAGAGATTGGACACCTTAAGCTGTGACACATATATGGTTGCACAAAAACACCAACACAGTGTTGCTGTTGCATTTGCCTTAACAGCACCACAGAGAGCAGAACCAGACCTGCTGTAAATGCAATAACGTAGAGCGGGGAACTGCCGAGATGAGATTGCCTTGTTTTTCCTCTTTGGTGATTTGCAGTGTGTGAAGGTTCGTTTTTGTTGCGGCCGTAGAGACAATGGATTGGCAACAGACACGGTTAAACCAATTCCGGGAACAAATTTCTTCAACTGATAGTTTGTTTAGATTCTAACCCAAGTGCTTTAGCTTATCTTTTTCAAACTCTTCTCTTGCTGCAATCATTTACTCTCCGGGTGTATTTTTCCAGATAAGACTCTTCATTCTGACGTGTCAGGTTTGATGTGGACTACGTCTTTGTTTGCCAGCCTGCCCGGTCTGCCTCAGCAACTCAGGCTGCCTCACAATAAATGTGATGAATACAGTGTCCAGGAGAACAAACCAGCCGTTTGACACTTCATCCCCCTTGATGCATTGCTAATATCCCGGGGATCTTTGGCACTTTGTTTGAAGCCTTGTTTTGCACTGCGGCTGTGCGTCCACCACTCAGCACAGGAGACAGATTGTCTCACGGAGAGGTTTAAGCTCCTCTGATAACAAACAAAGCATTTTAGTGATTGGATAAAATTTAATCGTGTTCCCTTTGGGGTTGCGGTAGGGGAAAGTACCGTACCTCGGTATTGACAACCTAGTGTGGCACAAAGGAAATGTGGAAAGGCATTATATTTTAGGAGGTAGTACACAGTAATACAACATCGCCATAAGATCATAGGTCTGTACAAACATGTTTGACATACTGTACTGTACTTTACTTCTAAATAAAGCTCATAAAAACCCTTGGTTTCCAGATAATTAATCCAAGGCTTAGCCCATCGCTAAATGTACTCAATCTTAATTAATATCACAAGAATAATTCCGCAAACTCATAACAATTTCCCGTCTGTCTATTGATCCAACTTTTATTCTCTTTAATAGAGGAGATAGATAAGAGAGCTGATGATGTCACCTCTGTGAACGAAATTAATGTTGTAACCTTAAAAAAAAACAACACACACATTCACCTACTATAATTAGCAGCTGCCCTAAAATTACGGCAAAAAAAAATCAATATGTTATTTGAGCAAATTTATAGGCTTTTAATTACTTCATAATTATTTCTTTTTTAAAAAAAACTTGGCAATCAATCGACAGACAACGTACTGACATAGTACTGAGAAAGTCAATTCAGGAGTGTTTAGTCTTACAGCAAGAAGGTCACTGGTTCACTTCCCAGTATGTGTGGGCAACAATAACACGCAGTGTCAGGTTAATTGGACAGCCAATAGTGTGAATATTTGTATTATGTCTACCTGTGACCCTGGGATGGACGGATAAAAGTACTCCTGGATATGACTGCAATACTTGTTCGAGACAACTGCACCAGTGACTAAAATTCTCCTTCTTACTGTGTTGTGATAGAACAGCAGGAGAGCTTTCGACTAAAGCAGCAGGAGAACCTCGAACTCCTGTTGCTCCAGTTCATTTTTAAACAGTTGAAGCAGTTAAAAACAGAGACAAAGTATTTTGTCTTCCACAGGTCATTAAGTACTTGATTGTTCACAGGACTATTTTTAACTCTCTACTTTTTTAGGTTTACCTATTTTTGTCAGTACCATTGCAGAGGAGGAAGGTTCCTACATTAATTCCAAAGATTTAGTTTTGAGGTTGTTTATTAAAATCACGTTTTCTTCTTCTCTCTGCTGCCCCCTTCAGGGGTGGTCACAATGATCTGCCTTCATCTCAAACTTTCTCCAGCGTCTCATACTTTCTCCTATTTTTACACTGTCAATCTCCAAGAACTATTTCACATCTGTACATCTTTTTCTGTACATTGTCTTTTCCTTTTGTCCTTGGAAATCCTCTGTCCAACATCTCCACCGTCCTCACTACATGCCCAGTCCATCATCCTCAACTTCCTGATCCTGGTCCTGGTCACTGCAGGTGAAAAGCTCTGGACTTTTGTCTTCCACCTCTTGCCTGTCTCGTTCTCTCTGCTTCCTAACACGCCAACGTCCACTTTGACACTTCAACTGACAGACATCCATCACTAACCAGTACCCCGTTGGTCAACAGCACCAGAGGCAGTCTTTGTTGATTTGCCTGATCCAGTATGGCAGTCATTTTTCTGATACCTGCTTTTTTCACACTGATTACACTTCATGCAATATCCCCATCACATATCCAGACCAAGAATCAGCACCACAGCACTCCCAGTTGCTGGGTTACGAAATACTCCCACTAACATGAACCTTTAGAGGAATATTTATTATATTATATTATATTATATTATATTATATTATATTATATTATATTATATTATATTATATTATATTATATTATATTATATTATATTATATTATATTATATTATATTATATTATATTATATTATATTATATTATATTATATTATATTATATTATATTATATTATATTATATTTACCTTTAGCAGACTTTTAGCAGAGTTAGCAGACTGATGCAACAGCAGTAGCAGAGCATCGCTCAGAGTGTATACGACAGACAGAATAATTCTGTAGGTGAAGTATCACACACAGTGTCAGAAACATCTGTTCAATCTGTGTTGTGCTCCAGTGGACAGTGTGCCAAGATCCCTGGGCACAGGGCTCTAAAAATATAACACTGACAAGTCTGTCACACTTGATAAAGGAGGAAACAATAGGAATCCTGCCGAAAACTGAAGAGCGATAGAAAACGGAATGGAGTGGAAGATAAGTTCGTGCACTCCAGACACACAAAACATTTTTTTTTGTACACCACCTCAGGTGAAAAAAAAATCTTTCTTGGCACAAACTGTGTCCTCACAGGGGGGAGGAGACACTTGCAGCAGCCCATGACGAGACTGAGGAGCCCAGTCATCGTTGAAGGAATAGAGTTCACTGGGATGTGAGAATTACAGACCTGGGACGCTGGGCACAGTTCAAACACAAACCATGGCCTCGGCCAACTTCTTGGTATTTGTCATTTTGTCCTTAAAGTTATAAATATAACTAATTAGTCTTGAGTGTGTCTGGTCAGCAGGGAGCGGCGGCCCTCCCTCCACACCCATCACCTCATGCCCACATGCCCTTCGCATGTGACCGACGTGATAGAGTTATATAAGGCCGTTGATTTCACCTTGTCTCGCCACACTTAGCTCTGGTCAGACCGTCCTTCAAGGGATTCTCCAGTCTTAAGCTGAATTCACTGTTGAGTTTCATTGATTGGCTGATTGGCAGCAATTTTTTAAATACTTTCCATATTTGAACCAAATCATGAGTGATCAGACCCCGACGGAGCTGCAGTGTGGGGCGTATGACCGAGGTGTTCCCTGGAAGCTTTTTAGAAAATGGTGGCCGTCCAGTCGGAATTCCAGTCACGACGTTGGCCTGCCACCTTCCCTGGAGGCAGGAGACGCTTGGTGGTTGAGTTTAGCAGCTGCCACGTGGCCTGGGTTTGTACCCGCTCCTCTGTTTGTGCCCTACATGTCCAGGCTATCTCAGCAACCCGGTCAGAAGATCAGTAAGGAGACGTGCAAGTGGACGGTGAGTCTGGATGTGGCTCACTTCTCGCCTACTGAGATTTTCCTCAGCGTCAAAGATGGATTCCTGGTAGTGGAAGGTACAGGACATTGATTTACAGCTTTGTTAATTAAACTCATGCACATGGGACACCGGTATTATAAAAACACAGAGGGAGTCAACTGCTAAAAACTGAACTCTGGTGAAGTTGAAAGAAAAAAAAAATGTAAACAATGTGCTTAGGGAAATAAAAATTACACTTTTATGGCAGAAATTATTTGGGTGGATTCTCTGTGCTGTGCTGTATTTGACTTGATTACTGTGTTTTCTCTCCCTCCCTCACTCTCTCTCTCTCTCTCTCATAAACGGTAATACACCCCCAGGGAAACACGAAGAGAGACAAGACGAGCACGGGTTTATTGCCAGGTCTTTTACCAGGAAATACAGGTAATCACTGGTATTAACCTGAGCAGTTTAAACTGTTTCCAGCAGCCGAAGTAACTGGTTTTCAGGTGATGGTTTTTTGAGGAGCCCATGTCTTTCTGCATACTGTGCTAAGAAAATACACATTAGAAGTGTTTGCAGAATTAGTTTTTGTTCTCTGTAGTGAAACCACAAAATGTGACTCTGCCACTTTCAGGCTCGCTGGTGAAATAGTTACAGCAGAAATCACAGCCACACTTTCTGCTGATGGAATCCTGACTGTGGAAGCGCCGGTTCCAGAAGAGTCGGTTCCGACTGTCACTGTCATTCCCATCAAGGTAGATAAGAAGATTCATTACATTAATCACAAATAACATTTCTGTATCTTTATCTGACAGGAGGATATGAGGTTGTTTAAAAAAAAAAACCAAAATAAACCTAGTCGTTCTCTCTCACAATTTCTATTCGGCAAGTTTTAAAATGAAGCTAAACATTTTGATGATGATATAAGAGGTATGGTATGGAATAGTATGGTTTTATATGGTATGGTATGATATGGTACGGTTTCGTATGGTATGGTAGTGTTTTGTATGGTATGGTATGGCATGGTATGGTATGGTACTGTTTTGTATGGTATGGTATGGTAATGTTTTATATGCTATGGTATGATACTATTCTGTACGGTATGGTATGGAATGGTACGGTTTTATATGGTATGGTATAATATGCAATAGTAGGGTTTTATATGGTATGGTATGGTATGATACGATTTTGTATGGTAGGGTATGGTATGCAATGGTATGGTACTGTTTTGTATGGTATGGAATAGTAGGGTTTTATATGGTATGGTACTAATGAAATTATACTAATGCCTAAAAAGTACATCTACATATTTGTCCACGAACAGGTGGAGATGGAGGGAACTGACAAAACAACATGTGAACAAATACACAAGGAAGAAACCCTGCCCGAATTAGACCCAGATATCACCTCAGCACCACAGGTTCCAGAGTGTACAGAGGATGATGTGGTAGAGTCAACAGCAGTCGAAACTGATCAGGACCAACCTGGCAACATCACTGCTGCTCCTGAGCAGCCAGAAGAGAAGACAGGGCCTGAAGAGAAGGAAGAGAAAGAGGAGAAGGAGGGCGAGGGGGAGGACAAGGCTCAGATTGATCCAAAGCCATTTGAAGACCCCCTACCTTCAGAGCCAGCAGATGACAGCGATAAAGAGAGTCATCAAGAGTCCTCTGAGCAGCACAAAGACCTGGAAAGCCAGGGGAGCCCCAACACAGACCCGCCCGAACAGGCAGAGCATGGAGAGTCATCTCAGAGTGAAGAGATCAAGGTTGAAGGAGTCTCCGGTGAGGCTGCTAAGGAGATCCCACCAGAGGAGCAGGAGCTGGTCAAAAGTCCAGAGAGTGAGGTCTCCAGCCAGGAGCAGGAGGCGTCCGACATCAAGGATGAACACACAGAGTAAACAGATGACGAGGTCTGGCTGAGATGCTGCACTCATTGCCTACTGACATCAACAACTTGCACAGCTTGGCTTGGCTTTAGGTCTATTAAAAGCATTTTCTCTATTAAACTGATATAAACTACCCCTGTCTTTGGAGCTCCAGTAAAGCACGTTCAAAAACACTTATTGGTCTTGTTATTTTAATTTGATTAACTCCCTATAAAACATGCTGGTGTTTTTATTTTGAGCTGTCACTAATTAAAAAAAAAAAAAAAACCCAATCAAGATTAATTGCTGGAACAGATGTTTGTGTTCGACACCTGTTTTTATTTTCTGACTAATCTGAATGATGAAATTAATCTGGAAAACAAATGCTCAGTAAAATATGAAAAAGTAAATCTCAACTTTATAGTCCAGGGGTGTCAAACATACGGCCCGAGGGCAAACACTGGCCCACTTAGTGTTTCAATACGGTTCACTTGGAAAAATTAAAAGAATACATAAACACTTCATATTCAGGAAATGTTTTGAAAAATTATATTTGATTAAATATGAAAATGTATATAATGTAGCATGAAAACAAAGGGGATAAAAAACTTTACCTGACTTCTTATTTATAGGTGACATCTAGTGGCTCATAGAACAAGTTTATTTCAAAATGTCAGTGAAGTTGCTGTCCCTCACGATCTATTTGACAGTTGTGTCAGTCTCACTGTCAGCCATAGACTGGCTGACTGCCTTGTTAAGCTGGTCTAACACCAGCCAGACCTCTGGCCTGAAGTCGAGCTTCCACAATCACAAACTGGGAGTTGAGTTGTTATTTTAAGTTCGAGGTTCTTTGTTGAAACAAAAACATTTTCTTGCAGCGTGTGTAAATAACAGCATGTGTATTATCAATGTATTACAGCAGCAATAAGTAGAGGGCAGTGGAATTATCAGATACGCAGTGCAGGTAGTTTTCGGTACAATATGTTAATGTTTTAATCTGATTCATTTTAGAAATCAATCAACAGGATTAACGCATTAATAATGACAGCTTCAGTGTATTTAACATGGGACTCTACAAGTGAACATCACGTTCACTGTTCAACTGAGTGCAAAACGTAAAGAGATTAATTACTGCGCGGCTCCAGCTAAGTGATTTTGACATTCACCAGGCTGCTGTGCTTCAGTCATTCATACTGTACATGGGAAAACTGGCAAGGTTCCAATTCTTCATCCCTGTCAGCACAAGTATGAACACTGCTGAGAACTTAAAGCAACACTTAATCATCACAACCACAGTTGGGACATTGTTGGGTTGTTACTCTGTCCAATTATAGAATACTGAAGCAACCATAAAAGAGTTTGAAGTGAACCAAACTGACAACAGACAAGAAGAAGTGACAATGTTATGCAGGTATTCTGGGTTTTACATAGTACTAGTAGAATAGTCAACAACTTAAGCCAGTCATGCTGCAGGAGTAAAGCTGTTAGCACCTGGGCTAACAGGACCTCCCATTAAGGATATTCCTGGGCAATTTTGTTTGGATTTTTAAACAGCAGTTTCCCATCAGAGTAATGGTGATGGCAGCTGTTAACGCGCAACTCCACTTTGAGACAGTTCAAGTAACAGCCTAAAATAGCCATAAAATCAAATTCAGTCTCTACACAAACGATGGACTTGCTCTCTCCAAGAAGCTGCAATGAAATGCCATTTTGGCTGCAATACCATTGTTGAACAAAGGGGGGAGGGTTGTTTCATAGAACTATAGAAATAATAGTAGTTTAGGACACACGTCCCAAGAGTCATTTTATAGCCTGTTGAAGCTTCCAAAGTCAAAGTATGTTTCTACGGTTCTTTTTGTTGTTGTTGTTGTTGTTCAAAATAAATACCAAAAATATTCCAATAAAGACATCACGTATGTAAAATACAACTAAACTAAACAACGTTGTCCACCTACACACAGAATCTCTGGAACCTTCCAGAGTGTGTGCAGTACAGCAGCACTAAACACCCCAACAACAAAGCAACAGTTCTTGGATTCCTGTTGTGTACCCAGCTCTGAATACAAGGTGTTGAAACACAAACAGATTTTGTGGCTGATTTTTATTATTATAATTATTACTGCTTTATGCAATACAAAGACATCAAGAAAAAAGAGAACAGAATACAGACAATTTTCAATAGTCTACCACAACAATCATGCTATCATTCTTCAAACTGTTCAAAAAAAAAAAAAAAAACATATTGTAAAACTTGGAGGTTTGGTTTATTAATCAATATAAATTTAAGTGTACGTACGACAGACTCTTAAAGACACAATTCACTCCACTGATCACCAATTTGGGTTTTTGTAGTTAATTGAGTTGACAATAATTAGCTAAGATTCTCTGTTCAGGTGAAAGTTTATGATCTTCTGCATCTTGGAAATATTGAGTTACTGATACTTCTTTGTGAATATTTGTATTTGTATAAGGCATATTTATAAGGCAAAAAAAGTGATTAATTGAAAATTTTGTTACTAATCTAGTAGGTGAAACTGTAAATGTTTTATAATGGCTTCTCCCTCATTGAGTGTTCCTTTAGCCCCCTCATGCTAGCTTAAGCCAGTATCTTCGCTTATGATTTATGTTAATACACAGCAGAACACGTCTCATCACTGAGGGCTGGAACCCATGTCCTACCAGGAGTGTTATGGAGGCTGGATGTTCCCATGGTCTTCATATTTCCAAGTACATGTTTGATAAAACTCTCCTGACCTTTTTTTTTAAGCTGTGTATGTGAGCAGGTGTTCAGGTGTGAATTAACCAATCAGAAGAGTTCTTGATCAGTTAGGTTTTCTAAAAGTGTTAATAAAATGGTTCGTCAGTGAATTAAGAAATAAAATCTCAAATACATTTTCAGGGACCATTCGAACTGACCCCAAAACTGAAAAGTTTAAGAAAACTGTTAAAAGTCCGATATTGTTAAAAAAAAAAAAGCGACAAGAGAGAAGAGTGAAAAATCTGTTAAAAGAGCAGAGAAGAAAAAAGAAGTCATGCCAAGAAGAACATTTGACCTTGAATATCTCATATTATACAATATGTTACACAATGTAAAGACGAGGTTTCAAGAACATGAATACAAAGACAATAACTTGGACGAGGACATTAGACCATGGGGGCTTCTTGGAGTATGGGGGCCTCCACCTCCGGCATTTCTCCAGTCTGGGAGCCGTCATTACTGAAGAGGTGATATGGGGGGGTCTGTCGGGCTTCAATGATGAGGACACCCTCGGGGGACAGGGAGGCAAAGACTGACAGAGGGTCCACATCTATGGGGATCCTTAATCACAAGGAGCAGATGATGTGTAATTAAGAGTTGGTGAATTTTTTGATGAGGATTTTATAGAAATACAGCTGCACTGTACAAGACAGAGTTTAGGTTTTAATGAGTTTTCATTTCACCAGCGCATCTTAAGCTTTAAATGCTATTTCAACCCCCAGTTTAATCCGTTCTAAGCAGCATAACAAAAAACCATACTATTTATATCTATACTATTAATTTTTCCTCCTATTGAAACATCAAAAACATAGATATAAACAAATATACTGATAAATATGAATAAATATATAAATATATATAGAAATATATTGATATAAAAATGGGTAGCACAACAGTGTCAGGGGCCACTAAGCTTAGGAGAAGGACTAAATATATATATAAGTTTGTGACAAACTCGGCAGGCAGCATCTTATTTCTGTGATGAACAGTAGTTCTGTATCTGTACATACTCGTGTAAACTTGGCATTTTAAACATTGTGTAAAAAAAAAACATAATTGCGACGGGCAATGATGATGAAAAATATTCCAAAAAAATCTGCCTACATTCATTGCCAACCACAAAATATTTCTAAGAATGTCTGGGAAAAGCAGGGCAACTACACAGCTTTTGGTGTTTTAACCAATATTCTCTGACTTCAGGACACAAAGGAAGGAAGGAAAGAAAGGACCAAACTTGACTTCAATTAATGGGAGTGTCTGTCTGCAGACGGCTCATACTTTTTTTCTTCTCCATCCCTGTGTACTCTCCTAATCTGCTGCTCTTATCTGTCATAAAGGCAACACCTAATTGGGCATCAGGGATTTTCTCTGAATCTTTTTTTGACATTTTCTCCTGCTAGAAATATTACAGTTCTCCGCAGATGAGTGCGATAATTGGTACCTATAACTTTCAGGGAAAAACAACAGCAGTGGGGGTGGGGGGAGGATAAACAGAACGGGAAGTTAAACACTAAACTATTTACCTTTTGGTAAACCTGGGATTTGATGACGTCAGATTATTATAGAGATCTAAGACTTGTGTCGTCTACGACATTGGAAATGCCTTGCAGATACCACACATGACATCATTCATTTAAAGGAAACCAACACTAGTTTAGTACCACCAGAGCCAAGGTCTTCAATATGCTGTCAGCAACCTATCAGGAGCCAGATATAATGGGATGTGAGATGAGCAATTTTTAGCCATTATGGATATGTTTATAAATATATATAGACACACATATTGTATATATACCCTAGCTTTAATCCTCAAAATCTTGCTCAGAGAGAACAAGATGACACAATGAGAGAGAAAAAGGGAGGTGGGGGGATGGACTACCTTCATCTGACAGTGTGGCCAAATATGGGTACGATAGTTTGTCTGTGTGAGAGTTAATATAAACATCAGACTCTGGGTCTGCACTCCATTTAATTAGAGCGGACTCTAGACTCTAGACAGCTTCCCAGTCCACTGAGAAATACCAGCTGAACAGGGCAGCAGACAGGTCACCCAGGAAAACAGAGTAGGGGTCAGGTCAGGTGACCACCTTTGGTCTAACAACAAGTAAAGTCGAACTCTGACCTGAATCTTATACAACACATCCAGAACTATGAGTTAATCTTTCACCTAAATTTGATCTTAAACTATTTTATTGCTATTGATTTTATGTAATGGTGTCAAGACAATAATGTAAAATATGGCAAACTACGTCAATACAAATGTCCTACTCACTCCCCAGCCCTGACTCAACAAAGACACAAGTGTCAGGATCCAACGCCGCGCCTCCTGACAGTCAGATCACTCAGCCGCCCCGTTACATCTGACCCACTGGCAGAAAACGGATCTGTTCAGCTCAGGGAGTTTTATTTACTCCCCGCGAGCTGGTGTTTTATCTTACGCATTGATTCTGTTTGACTGCCAGAACACTGCCAATAGGTTTGGCCCAGCAGAGACCGTGAGGTAAAAAAACAGAAAAGTGAGGCCGGACAGGGTATGTGTGTGTGTTTCCATGGAGAGTGTGCAACATACTGTATATAATGTTTAAACTACTTCCCAAACCCAAACACAATAGCCAGTCGGTCCGGTTAAAAAATGGCTGCCAAAAGTGTTATAATAATAAATAAGAGTGATTTACTTTTAAAACCACAAGGAAGGTTAGCACTAACAGCTACTTTGATTTGACCCTGTGTCTTCCTGTAAATTGGAAAACTAGAGTAGCGGTTAGCATGCCAGCCTCAGAAGCAGAAAGCAGAGAGACCTGAGTTCAATTCTCAGAGGGACCGCATGCTTGGGGCCCATTACAGCAGATCAGCTGTTAACAAGAAACTAACAAATATGGGCTAAATAAAGTTGTAATTATTATTATTATTATAACAAGAAGATAAACTGCAGTACGTCAACATTTATTGCACATTATATGGCAATGTTTTTACTCAACCTAAAAAGAAAGAACCAGCTAAAACAAAGACAGTGGAAATGGTCCAAGCTCATGGTGCAACACGGCTAACAAATCACAAGAAATTACTTTGAAATACTCCCCACATGAGTAGGCAAGTGCGCATTCCCTTGAAGGTTATTCTTGGAAAATTTCAAAACCATATTGCTGTATGTTGCAATGACTGTAAACAAATATTTGCATAAAGGAGACATTCTTGTCAACATGTTTTTCACAGAAATAAAAATTAGATAGATTTTTCTCTCAAGGGACACTTAGAGCACACTGTAGAATCGTATCTCCTAACATCTCTCTTGTTCCAAAATAATTTTAGTTTAATTTTTTTTTTTGTATTTTAAAAACATATTCTTATGCATTTAGTATAAGAATATATATACCATATATAATCTAGTATACTGTGTTGCTTCTTTTAATGCTCCGTAGCAGCTGTCAACCCCTGTAGGGGTCAATACAGTATTACTAATCCTGGTAAATATTTTAGTTGATCAACAGCCCAAGTTAGAACAACAATAAACTGTCCTGCCGGAGGCGAGTGACATCAGAAACAATCTTTGACTCGTGTACAACAACATGAGAGGATAATAAATAACAGACTTTCCACTGCCTCAGGTCAGGGTTCAGCAAGTAGACATACTCCCAGACCTCGATGCTAATCGGACTCGCATAACAGTCTTCATGTTGTATCTGTTCTAGATCAAAAACTACTGCCATTGGGGATGGAAACATTAACTGCACTGCACTCAATGAGATATGTGTGTTTCTTGTTTCCTCTACTCAAGGAGTAGAATTTAACTGCACTTTAGGCGGAGGTCTCAAAAAGTTCCCACTGTGAGTATTTATAGGATTAGTAAGGATAAAGTGAGCCCAACAAATGGATCAAGAGTGTACTGGTACTGATGTTCAAGAACAAGTGCATTGTGCCTTTGTGAATTTAGGGAAGGCATACAATAGGACGCCTAGGGATTAACTGTAGTACAGTATGAGATAGCGAGGAGCGACAGAGAAGAATGTGAGGGTGGTGCAAGATTTGTACAAGACCAGTGAGACAGTAGTTAGATTTTGACTTGTCCTTATTTGCTGATCCATCAGTCAGTCGCACACAGTGTCCAATCGTTTTCTGCTTCAAAATACTAAGAATACTATTTTTGGTCTCTTTTTTAAAAAAACTGTCATTTACAAAACTGATGTATGTTGAAAAAGAACTTTAACTTTAAATTATGCCCATAAACTATTTTTTTCTAGGCCAATATCAATTTATTTTAATCAAAACCCACAACAACAACAACCCTGGAATCACAGTAATGTTTCCACATTAAAAAAAGCTAATAAAAAAATCCTCCACGGTAAAGTTAATGGTTTGGCTGTAGCTATATTGACAGATGCTTATGAAAACAGTACCGGACCTTTGTTTAACTGTTTAATATTCTCTGGGCCTGAGATGCTAAAAATATTGGACTAGGGAAAGGAATTATAATAAGTATAAT